TCTATCTATCTATCTATCTATCTATCTATCTATCTATCTATCTATCTATATCTATCCACCTATCCATCTGAGACAGGTTCCATGTACTCTAGCCTAACCTCATATTTAACTATGTAGCCTAAGCTGGCTATGACATCAGTCCTCCTGTCTCCTCCTACGTATGTGACTGCAGGTGCCGTGCCCAGCTCTTTTCACTCATTGTATAGACTATTCTCTACACAAAGATTCTCCCAAACCAAGTGCAATAGAACACTCCTGTATTCTCAGAACTTTGGAGATCAGACAGGAGAATGTAGAGTTCAAGATCAGCCTGAACTACATACCTAGACAGAGACAGAGAGAACGTGAATCTCTCTCCTAACTGACATACTTAGTTAACTCTGGAGTATGGTTTCTATAAACAATGAAGATGCGTGTTTTCTTTTTATTTAATACTTAAAAAAATTACTTAGCATATCCAAATAGGAGCAATTAGGGTGCTATTTGTATTATTTTGGTTTTATCTTATAAGTAGCTTGATACTATTTTCTATCATAGATCTTAGCATCTATCATAGATCTTAACATGTTTGTCTTAGTCACTGTTTCATTGCTGTGAAGAGACACCATGACTATGGCAACTCTTATATAAGAAAACATTTAACTGGGACCATTACAGTTTGCAGTTTCAGAGGTTTAGACCCCCGTCATGGTGGGGAACATAGTGCCATGCAAGCAGATGTGGTGCTGGAGAAATAGCTGAGAGTTTTACATCTGGATCCACAGGCACCAGGAGGAGCTTGGAATGAGCTTTTGAGACCTCAAAGCCCAAGCTCAGTGACATACTTCTTCCAACAAGGCTACCCCTCCTAATCCTTTCAAAGAGTGCTACTCCCTGGTGACCAAGTATTCAAATCTATGAATCAATGGGGGGGGAGTCATTCTCATTTAAATCACCAAAACGTTAACTGTGCTTAATTTATTTGAAGATCTTATTCAGAAACACAGGCTATAAACAGAAATGATAATTATTCCCCATCACCAAAAGATAAGTGGAAGAACTGTTTTCATGTATTTCCACCCAATTTTTCAATATAAATAGAGGTGTTTTCTTTTCAATTATAGATAATTGTGGTTTGTTGAAGTTTCTTACACCACTGTTCTATCATTTAGATGATTTTCCAAAGTAGAGTTTCTATGGAGCTACTACTTGGCATTTACAAATGTCAATTTTGTTACTTAATTGCTTAAGACCTTTTTCTTTTCTTTAAATTTTTTTTTTTATTTTTTAGATTTAAAAGAATTTTATATGTATGAGTATTCTGCCTGCCTGCATGTCTGGGTATCATGCGTGTATCTGGTGTCCATAGAGGCCAGAAGAGGGCGCCAGATCCTTGGAACTGGAGTTACAGGGGTGTATGTTAATCTCTGAGTCACTTATCCTCTTTGTGGAGTTAACCATAGTTGTTAACATATTTGCTACTCAAAGCTTTTTATACTCTAGTATCTTTTTATGTCTGCTTTCCACTGGGTACTGAAAAATTAGCTTTTTTTCTGGTTTGGGTTTCCGATTCCATTGGTGACTTATTTTGATTTGTGTCCCAACAGCTGGGTCCTCAATAATCCTAGCTCCCATGTATCCCTGTACTGGCGGGTACAGTTTTCTTTCTCTCCCTCCATGCTTTCCAGAAAGTGCCAGCGCTTCACCACATAGGCCTTGATAATCGCTGACTCATTCCAAAAAGATTCCGTCATTTCATGGTACGTGCAAGAGAGTTGACTTCATCTGTTCTTGCTAGCTCTGGAGATCATCAAAGACTCTTCAGTGAGCCTCACAGTACAAGCATTCAGATGGGCAAATCATCATTACTTCCATTAAAATATGTCTTTCTTTTCTGTAGATTTTGAAAGACCACGGGGAGGATTTTCTTGTTGGCAACCGGTTCAGCTGGGCAGACATACAGCTGTTAGAAGCCATTTTGATGGTGGAGGAACTCAGCGCTCCCATTCTGTCTGACTTCCCTCTGCTGCAGGTAGGATGCGTGTCCACACAGATGCGCCTCCAATGGAGCCGGACTTAAAACTTGAAGAGAAACCATCTCAAAGGGCATCGTTTTATTCACTCCGGATATTCCGTCGCACTTACACTGTAGGATCTGTTAGAGAATGGCACTTTACATGATGGGAAAATGGGTGTTTGAGGTTCTAATATGAACGTTTAAACTGCTGGGGCACACAGCTCAGAGGCAGAGCACGTGATGCACGTGTACGAGGTCCTGGATTCAGTCCCTGGTAGTTGCAAAACAAAGAATGAACATTCAGGGCTGTCTTTTCTTCTTCTTTTTCAGCACTCTTAACATTTTTTACTCGCTACAAGAGTCTTTGTCCTTTCAGCCTGGTTCCTATCAGATAATGATGCCCACTTTTAGTGGTCCTGATGCTGGGTCATCTCTTGGTCACATTGCCTCAGTTTGCACAAAGAATCCCACAGTTGCCATACTTATTTGGCCTCTGCTCTAGCTCCTCCCATTTTTCTCAGAACCATTAGGTTGTGTCTATTAAGAACAATGTTTTTAATTAGTTTCTCTAAGGGTGTCTTACCGGGTATACAGACCACATTTAAGGGCAGATTCCATGCCCAGTAGTACATGGCCAACACCAAATGAACTCAATGGCATTTTTGGAGGTTTTTCTTTTTAACCTTACTAATCTTTTGCTTGTATATTATGGTTTCTGATTTTGAGATTTTTTTATGGGTTTTGTGTGTGTGTGTGTGTGTGTGTGTGTGTGTGTGTGTGTAGGCATTTCTCCTGCTCTTTCTTAGTTTTTTTTCCTTTTTATTGTTGTTTATTTGTCTTTTATTTGCCTTTCATTTTCTTGGAGCAGGGGAGGCTGGAGAAATAGCTCAGAGGTCCAGAGATCTTGATTCAATTTCCATTCTTTTTTTTTTTTGAACTCATGGTGGCTCACAATCATTTGTAATTAGATCTGGTGCCCTCTTCTGGCGGGTAGGCACACATGCAGGCAGAACACTGTATACATAATAATAAAATTGAAAAAAAGAGAGAGAAGGCTTGGAGTTGGATGGGTGAGGAGAATCTGAGGAAGGAGGTAGGAAGGGAAAACCATAATCTGAATATATTGTAAGAAAATAACTATTTTCAATAAATTATTTAAAAAGGAATTAGTTGTCCTTTTGATGTAAAGAATTTTAGGTACTCTGAATTATAAATAAAAAAATGTGTATTTAAAAAAAGAACAGCACTGGGCAGTAGTGGTGCACGCCTTTAATCCCAGCACCTGGGAGGCAAAGGCAGGAGGGTCTTTGTGAGTTTGAGGCCAGCCTGGTCTACAGAGTGAGTTCTAGGACAGACTCCAAAACTACAGAGAAAAAACAAAAAATAAAAACAAACAAACAAAAAACCCCAGCATTTCTTCCTTCTTACTACAAAAGAAAAGGTGTATTTGTGCTCCTACAGTATCTAAACCAAAAGATGAACAGGAAAAAAAAAATATAATTCTACAGGCAGGAAACTTATTTATCTATCCCTTTGTATTGTCCCTAAAATAGGGTTATAGTAAACATTTGATTTGTGGTCTGCTTTTAATGTTCTTTTCAATAACCATGAATAATGAATATATCTGTATGTCAACAAGTATTCTTCTGTGGCATAATGTATATTTCCATATATATAATGCATATTTTCCATATATATATATATATATATATATATATATCCCAGCAGAGCCGTATAAGAAAGGAACCAGTTGAGAAACCCCGTCTCTGTAGTGGCCCCGTCTTCCTGTCCCCATGATCTTTCACTGTTTCTCGTGTGTTCTCTCAGTGTTCCTATTTATAAGATATAAGCAAATGTTCAAAAGTACTCTTGCCCTAGCTATAATTTTCTTACACAATACTGTTGTTTCATTTCAAATTTAATTTCATGTGCATGTATGTCTGTGTACACATGTATGCAGATGTCCTCAGAGGCCAGAAGAGGGTGGTAGCTCACCTACAACTGGAATTACAAATGGCTGTGAGCTCCCACACAGGTACTGAAAAATCAAATCCAGGTCCTGTGGAAGAGCAATCAGTGCTCTTAACCATTGAATCAACTCTCTGCTCCCTTTGTTTTTACCAAAAAAATAAAAAAGTAAAAAACAAATGCTTTGTAGATATTTTTATCCATCTACCAATATAAAAAAACTCCTTTTTCCTTTCATATGTTATGTTTAGAGTTCCTGGCTTAAATTTCCTTTAAGAATTGTATGCACACATGCATGCACACACATGCAGACACCTGAATCCTCCTGCACAGACGTTATTGGCATGACACCTATCATTTTGTATGTTCCAAAAGATAGGATTACACTCTTCTGTGGCCTGTTTATATAGCTTCACAGTGATCATGAAATGTTTTCATGTATGCATTTTTATATGTGTAACCATTTCCTTTTCTTATTTATTTTGTTGCTTTAAAGACTCTTTTGTGAAATTTATTTTTGACAATTCCTTTCACGTGTATAATACTTTCTGATTACTCCCATCCCTCCTGTGCCCTCATCAACCTTCCCCACAAATCCCTTTGTTTTGCTTTGTGACCACTGAGTTTAACCAGGTCATCCCATGAATATTGATGTGGAACATTGGGGCATGGTGGGCTCAGCAGTGACTATGTAGCTAAAGACAATGGGTCCCCTCCCTTTTTTCTTTCTTTTCTTTTCTTGCCTTGCCCTGCCCTGCCCTGCCCTGCCCTGCCCTTCCCTTCCCTTCCCTTCCCTTCCCTTCCCTTCCCTTCTCCTTCCTTCCTTTCTCCCTCCCTCCCTCCCTCTCTCTCTCTCTCTCTCTCTCTCTCTCTCTCTCTCTCTCTCTCTTTCTTTCTTTCTTTCTTATAGGTTCTCACTGTGTAGTCCTGGTTGGCTGGAGCTCATTATAAAGGCCAAGCTGGCCTAGAACTCACAGACTTTCCTTTGGCTGTGCCTCCTAAGTGCTTGGATTAAGGGCATGTGCTATCACACCCGGATCACCAGCCTTTTCATTTTTAAAATACCTTTTTCTTCTTAATGTGTATGAGTATTTACCTGTATGTAAATCAATGTGCCATGTGCACACAGTGCCCAAAAGAGGCCAGATGAATATATTGGATTCCATAGCCAGGCGGTGGTGGTGCATGCCTTTAATTCCAGCACTCGGGAGGCAGAGGCAGCCGGATCTCTGAGTTCGAGGCCAGCCTGGTCTACAAGAGCTAGTTCCAGGACAGGCTCCAAAATTATAGAGAAACTCTGTCTCAAAAAACAAAAACAAAACAACAACAAAAAAAGAGAGAATATATTGGACTCCTTAGGATTGGAATTGCAGATGGTGGTTAGTTGCCATGTGGGTGCTGGGAATTGAAGCCTGGTCCTCTGGAAGAAGCCAGTGTTCTTAACCTCTGAGATGTCTCCAAGCATCAATTGTTTTCCCTGCTTTGAAAACACCCGTTATTTACAAATTGCTACTGTGTTAGAATTCTTCTAGCTATTTCTGGGTTTTGTTGTTGTTTTTGAGGCAGGGTTTCTCTGTGTAACTTTGGATGTCTTGGAACTCTCTGTAAACCAGGCTGGTCTTGAATGCAGAGATCTTCCTACTTCTGCCTCTTAAGTGCTAGGATTATAGGTGTGCGTCATGACTGCCCAGAAGCTATTTCTGTTCCCTTTTAATAAACTCTTAAAATAAGACTTAATAGGCTAAAGAATATAAATATTTAAAGGCTTTTGATATGCTCTGGTCATGTTTATTATATCTTTTTAATAAGACATTTCAGCCCACACCAAGAAAAGTCAGCAAACACACCAAGAAATTACTTCAGCACCGCCACCCAGGGCTTTGTAGCTAAAGGCCTGAGCTCCTCTTCTATGGGAAAACTGATTTCTTAGCGGTTGTGACAGCTATTGAGCTCCTGACGCCACTGCTTCCTGTTTCAGGCATTTAAGACAAGAATCAGCAACATTCCTACAATTCAGAAGTTTCTGCAACCCGGGAGTCAGAGGAAGCCACCTCCAGATGACCACTATGTTGAGGTGGTCAGGAACGTTCTGAAGTTCTAGTGGCAGCAGGCCTTAAGGTGGCCACAGCGAGTATCCAATTGCAGCGTCACCGTAGGCCAGCCACAGAGCATTCCAAAGCAAGGTATAGATCCCAGGAGGCTTCGAGAAGAAAAACCCCTCTGCTATCAACGACACATGCCAATTAAATATGGTGAAAAATTGTTCTGTTTGATTTGGTGTTTGTTTTAAGCTTGTCGGTTGTGGATGACAGTCTCCAAGAGTCATGAAAGCAGGGGTCCTTATGAAGAGGTGATCAGCAGACAGACATACTCAGGACACTGGCCTACGTGGGGCATGATTCATGTCTGTAAGAAGAGCAGATGGTGGCCGGGGAAGGAAGACTGCAGACGTGGGAGCAGAGGATCACTTCAATACCTGCATTGGTTTCTGGGAACTAGGGATTGGAAATAGGACAATCAATACTGGAAAAGCAGTGCTGTCTAGTAAGCCCTGTGCAAAAGTGGGAGTAAAAAGGATGTCTGGGATAGTTTTGAAACCCTCTTAAGGAAAAGAACCTTGGACATCAGGCAGCCCTCAACCAGAGCCACTGAAACTTGGGTTTTGCTTTGCTGAGACAATCCCAGAGACCACTGGGATCAACCCAAAGCCAACGCAATACTTCCTTATTCAAACTGAACAAAAGCTTCCTCGGCTTTGACGTACCTTCTTTAGCTATTGGGAACTATTCTGTTCCCAAGTCATACACTGAAGCTGGACCCCATGCAGGGCACACTGAATGGGACTAGAGGAGTTGGTGATGGCCCCAGACAGCTGTGACTTCTGGTGGCCTCTCTGGTCTGGAGAGATTCCCTGCCAGTGGTTTGGGGAAATGTGACTGCCAGTTCCAAACTTCTAAGACAGCCATCTATTCTTTAAAATTACACTTGTGTGTGTGTGTGTGTGTGTGTGTGTGTGTGTGTGTATGTGTGCATACATATGACACAGAGTACATGTGGAGATCGAAGACAGCCTTTGGGAGTCACCCTGAGGGATAGGCATTGAACTCTGGTGGTCAGGCTTGTCCAAGGTCTTCCACCTGCTCAGTGATCCGACCAGCCCCTGTCCTGTCATTTTCTCACGCCTATCTTGCCTTATAACTTCACGATTTGTGTTTCCTTCGGGCCACCACCGAGCACAACCGCACAAACGTCACACCCTGCTCCACTCATTCCTCAGCCTTTCTTCCGCTGATGAGCGAGCGGATCAATATGACAGCAGACCCCACCCCAGTACCCGTGAACAAGAGCCCTGCCCCAGAGTGGTTCTGTAGTCATCAGCTTTGTGCAACTGTACCGTGTACCTAAAGCAATTAATTTACTAAATTCATATCCCTTTCATCATCCTGTCAAATACTGTACTTCCGACTGTCATAAGCCGGGGACCAGCTGTGCCTCTTCATTCTTCCTCTGTGGTTATTTTGGACTCCACTGCCTATATGTTGGGTGGAGCCTCATCTAAACCTGCAGAAGTTATGGGTTTCTAAGGAAAAGCGAATCTCAGAAAAGTCAGCAGCGTGAAGGAGCTTTTGAGGCTCTACTTCCCCTTCTCCACTGTTAGGGTCTGAGTTTTGGATAGAGAGTGGGGTACTAAGTCTGCATGGCCATAGGAATAGAGGTTTGGAATTCAAGAGACCCTCTGTCATGCTCAAAAGGTACTGGGACAGCAATTCTGTCATCACCAGTGGTCCCTGTCTTTGCTAGACTTTCTATTGCTTCGGTGAAACACCATGAGCAAAAGCTGGGGAAGAAAGGGTTTCTTGGGCTTATGATTCCACGTTACTATTCATCACTGAAGGAAGCCAGGACAGGAACTCTCAAACATGGCTGAAACCTGGAGACAGGAGCTGATTCAGAGGCCATGGAGGAGTGCTGCTTACTGGCTTGCTCCATATGGCGTGCTCAGCCTGCTCCTTTGAACCCAGGCCCAACGGCCCAGGGATGGAGCCACCAGCAATAGGCTATGTCCTCCTAATCAATTGTTAATTAAGAAAATGCCGTATTGTAGATTTTATGGAGGAATTTTCTTTTTTTTAAAGTCATCATTTTTAAGGGTTTTATATTTATTTATTTATCACATATACAGTGTTCTGCCTACATATATGCCTGCAGAACAGAAGAGGGCACAGATCTCATTACAGATGATTGTGACCGTGATGTGCTTCCTGAAAATTGAACTCAAGAGACCTCTAGAGCAGTCAGTGTTCTTAATTCCTCCAGCCTTGGAGACATTTTCTTAACTGAGGTTCCTTCCTCTCCAAAGACTCTAGCTTGTGTCAAGTTTACATTAACCAAGCAGCATAGACCCTCAAATGAATAGATCCAGATAATCTGGGTCAGATGTAAAATTCTGGTCCCCTCCTCCTGTAATATGTTGACTGTCTCTGGTAGACAAGAATTGCACACAGAGCTGCCATCCTAAGTGGGCTGTGTCCAGAGGATCTGCCTAGAATCAGGCAAAGAAATCCAGACAATGTTCACCTCAAGCCCCTGTTTTTCCCTCTGCTTTCAGCAATCCACACACCATCTGAGACAGCTGAGGATGCTGTTTCCTGGACTCTCTTATGGTATAAGGCTCCCCAGTCAAGTCTGGCCACTTCCACAGGGACAAATGGAGTAGAGAAACCTGAATATTTACTAAGGGACCACACCCTGTGTGTGATCTCTCAGGGTTTTCTCCAGTGCAGCTTATCTCGTGCTGATAAACTGCTTTACTCCCAGGATTCCACACTGCTCTCTAAGCCAACGCCAGGCTAGGGCATGAAACAAGTGTAGAGTGGCGGGGTAATGCCTGGGTCTTTTTCGCTGATGGCTTATGACAGTGACTATCCCAGTGAGAGGGGAGGTTTGGAAGGACATACAATGGGACTCCTGTGTGGCAGTCATTCAGATGCTGTGAGTGCCATGAAACTTATGTTGGGAACCTCCCATGTGAAATGATATCCATCTGGAAGCCTCACTGAAAACCCCCTCAGTTTCTTTCCCCAAATACCTGAGGAAGGAATCAGCGTAAACATACGTGGGGGCCACGGTGAATCTCAATGGAAAATAAAAATACCAATGAAATAGGTTAAAAAGGAGTTCACAGTTAAAGGAAGAGTTGCATGAAGCTAAAACAAAACTATTTCAGTTGGAAGTTTACCAGGTAATTATGTAAGTCTCTCTTGCTGGCGCTGGCACCTGGACAAGGAAGAACTTTGTGTGTACCTGGCCAGTGTTCTGCCACGGATCTAAGCCCATGGCACCACAAACATAATTTTTTTTTTATCGTTAGTCATTTCAAAAAATATTTTGTTCATTTTGAGAGCCTGAGACCCATAGACATTTCACTCTCCCCACCCTCAAAACATGGGACATTTTTGTTTCAACCAAGGGTCCAAAGTAGAGGCTGGTAGAGGTCAGTACAGATCAGAGCCCTTCTCAGCCACATTCACACACAGTAAAAACTCCATGGGAACAATACAAAGGAGAGTCATACACGATACATTTTCTGTTCTCACTCCAAGTAATGTAGGAATGGTGTGCTTCCTACCATGAATGAATAGGGCCAGGGCAGGGAGACCATGGCCATTAGCGAGTTGGGACTTGCTCTTAACTTTGCCATCTCCCTAGTCCCTTGTCCATGTGTTGTTGTATGTATGACCTTCCACTTGAGAGTGGGTTGTCTTAATTTCCTATTGCTGTAACAAAATGCCATGACCAAGGCAACTTATAAAGAAGGTGTTTAATTTGGGGCTCCCAGCTTCAGAGGGTTAGAGTTCACGGTGGGAAGTGGTAGCAGGCAAGCAGGTAGGGCCCTGGAGCAGTAGCTGACGGCTCACTTCTTGATACCCAACACTAAGACAGAGAAAGAGATACAGGGAATGGCATGAATTTTTTGAAACCTCGAACTTGCCTCTCAGTGACACACCTCCTACAATAAGGTGACACTTCCTAATCCCCTTCAAAGAGTTCCACTAACTAGACACTAAATATTCAAACATATGAGCCTGTGGGGGGTCATTCTCGTTCAAATCAACACAGTGGTCAACTTGCCAGGCATTACACTTTTGGAGAGAGTTGATTCTCCCTCTCCAAGTAGCTGTCAATAGCCAGTAGCTACTCAGTTAGGTGTGTGACTTTGCACCCACCTCACGTCTCCATGCTGAGATTCTGGCTGGGGCTTGAGTTTGCACAGGCTCTTTGCATGCTACTACAATCATTGTGAGTTCATATGTGCAACTACCCTGCTGTGTCCCAGAAACACTATTTCCTTCTAATCATCCACAGCCTCTTGCTGTTACAGCCCCTCACTACTGCACTGACCCCTGTTGTTCTTTAAAAAACAGGCAGGTGTGTTCCCTGGCAGGCTCACAGAGCAGCTGCTAGTCCGACAAGGATGGCTGTGGGTCCCTGCAAGATCTCCAGGGTGGCAGCGCCATGTGGCCGGCGGTGTCAGGCAGGTGATTACGGCGGATAAAAGGCTCACAGGACATAGTATTATTTAAAGAAGAGGGAGACATTTACTGCTTAAAGAAGAGAAAAACAGAGAGACATGAAGAGAAACATAGAGAGAAACAAAGACACATGTGCACACAACAAGAGACAAACACAAGAGAGAGAAAGATGGCGACGAGGGAGGTCAGAAGTGGCTGAGGAGTGGGCGTGGCTAGCTCTTAAAGTGACCAGACACAAAGGAATAACATTCCCGGATCCTTTTTATAATAAAAAGTAGAAGGTTAGACATTATTGTTTGAAGGAATTGGGGCGGCGAATTCTCAAGGCTGCTTCCGGCTGATTTGTGGGCATCATCTTTGTGGGGGGAGAAGAATCTGAGAGAAGGCTGAATGCTGGACACATTTTGGCATAGCTGGTTTCTGCTCCCGACAGATGTCTGTGGCATGGAAATGTCTGGTGTCCCTTGTACCTGGTTAGGGT